GATCTGACTCCGATGGAAAATCGAATGCTTGTGGAAAGAAGTCAAGACACAAATCCGAAAGCTCAAAGACAAAAAGCACCAGGAGAGGACCTTCTAGACAACAAAATGCTGAAGGTTCTTCCCATCAAGGCTGTGCTATTTATAGTCCTGTTGTTTAACAGTGTCCTAAGGCTGAGTCATTACCCAAGTGCATGGAAGAATGCTATCATCACAATGATACCCAAGCCTGAAAAGCAACCCACTGAAGAAGATGCATACAGGCCAATTAGTCATTGGATAAAATGATGGAAAGATACTGAATTGTATCCTTGGACAAGAAAGAGTAAGCAGATCTATTCCAAAGTGGCAGTTTGCCTTCCGAAAAAGTCATGGCACACTGGAACAGCTACATCGCGTAGGCTCTGGAAGCCATGGAATGTATGTATTCAGTTGCTGTGTTCATGGACATTTAGCCAGCCTTTGGGTATGGTACGATGGTCTTCTAAGTAAGCTGAAAAACCTCCTAACGCTTCAGCTCTTTCTCCTTATTCAGAGCTTTTTATCGGAAGGAAATTCAGTGAGGTTGTCGATGGAGAAAAGTTGTCAAAACGCCCAATCTCAGCCGGCGTACCCCAAGGCAGTGTACTAGGTCCGACGCTATACTCTCTGTACACATAAGATATGCCAGACTCCTGGGGGGACTCCCGACGACACTGCTGTTATGGTCAGAAGTCCAAGCTATAAATCGCAACCTTGGGCCTGCAAGAGTACGTGACACGTTTTGAAAAGTGGACTACAGAATGGAACATAGGCATCAACTGCAGCAAATGTGCTTTTGTCACATTCTCCACAAGGCCAAAAGACTGCCCAGGCATCTCCATGGTTGGCTCTGTTCTTTGTCGCGAGGCCTACTACAAGAACCTTGGTGTGATTTTGGATAGAGGACTTCTTCTCCAGAGACACACAATATGATCAAGCAGGCTGTGCTCTCAAAGGCAGCAAGTATGTCCTGGCTATTATCACCAAGAAATAAGCTCTCATTGTCCAACAAAGTTAGAACCTATAAATCTATTCTCAGCCCAATCTGGAAATCCGCATTAAAAGTCTACGGCATAGGGTCTAAGTCAAATCTGAACAAAATACGAGTACCGCAAAGAGGGATTGTCAGATCGATTTTTAATGCCCCTTGGTTCATGAGAAATAGAGATATAGAAAGAGATCTGAAAATCCCAAAGATAGGCGATGGAGTACATACATATGCAGAAAAGTATCATGAACGCCTTGGCTCTCATCCTAACTCCCTAGCGGAGGCTAATATGGAGACCTACAAAAAAAAGATTGAAAAGATAGCACCCACATGACCTTCCTTTAAGATACATACAACCGTTTGTAGTTTAAAAATGTACCATAAAAATAATATAGAATTAATGTATAATCATTTATACCTACATTTTGCTATTTTCCTGTAATTTACAAACCTGCTCAAGCTGCCACGTAGATACGTGTTAATGTTGAATAAATATACACCTTTTACAAAAAAATACTAATAAGCTGAAAATGGCAAATAAAAAATGAAAACGAAAACCTACATCTAATATATGCATTTGTGCGCTACGACCTTTAATAATTTATTGTCTATTGTTTCGGAAAATTCTACGGTGATTCTTTATGCCGAATATCAGTTAGCACGTTCGTTTTCTCTCTCTGCGTCCGCTGTAGTCCATTTGTAAGTAGACTCATTTCAGCTGCGAGGATCGCAAACTATTGCTTCAGCTCACAAATAATCTGTTGTTTCAAAGATATTGTGGCCAAAAACAAAGATTGGAAGTAGCTATGCTTCCCTTTCTCACCACGTTAGGAGCAGCTGAAGGACGAAATCTTCGTTGCCTATTACCTTTGCGTTAGTTTTGACCATATCTTCTGCGCCGTATAATGTATCGGCTCCAGTTTCAATGATATATAACAGTGATCCACGTTGTCGGGAGTAAAGCATTAGGTTATTTCCTGACTCAAGCTCCGCGTACAGATGGTTATTAAAGTCTAAAATTGACCTGGAAGATACAAAATTCATTGTTCACTCTGAGACTACCATTCTTGATGTTCCCGACATTTGTAGAATATTCCTGGGTTCTTGCTGAACACATTAACTTTTATAGACTGTACCATGGTCAGTGGAAACACCAATATAAGTTATAAAATTATGGTTATGTGACAAGCTTCCTCTTTGGCGTATAGTAAGGCGTCTCCTCAGGCTGTTCAGGCTTACTGGTGACGTCCAATGAGCGCTTGTTATTGATTTCTTCTAGAAACAGAGAAGATACTGGTCTTTTGAAAATTCTAGATGAAAATTTCGATGTCCACTACCCGGACGAATGGATACGTTTTGATGACTCGCCCCATAGGCCACCTCATCACAGGTACACTGTCTTCTCTTATGATCAATACCTCTTTGATATTTTGAGACTCATGCTTCCATTTGTGCCGATTTCTTGTAGCATTTGCAGGTACTCAAATAACCATTGCTTCCAAAACGCATTCTTCAGTCTCGACACCAGTTCCCATATTTTTAGCAGTGATTTTTCGCAAAGGGTGGTGTTGGCATCAGGAGGAGCCGTCAATGGCTCGCCAATTAAGAAATTTCCTTGCGTTAATGCTGATTCGTTAGTGCTGACGACATGGGAGTAGTGGGTATGAAGCAGTGGATTCTACGACATAAGAAAGCAGTGGGTTCTAAAAGCCGTTTTGCGGAATTGACGGTGACCAAATGATGGTGCTCGTGGGAAAATGATTTTAAAGTCTGTTTGCTTTTTATTTCAGTGCTGGAGATGGCTCTCCTTGGCTTCACTTGTAAAGTCGGCATTTTCTAACTCCTTTAATTTGTTCTTAGCCCCAAATAAATTCGTAGCATTATTGCAATGGATCGTATGGCAGTTTCCTCAACGTCCCAGAATGCGGCGGAGAGCGCCCAGAAAGGCGGTGAGATCACTCACTAACTTTAAATAAACCGCCTTTGTAGAGAAAACTGCGATGTAAGCCTTGTCTGGTCGTTTCCAGACCATCCTGTTCCTGTTTATCAAGATTATTTAATCTCTCAAAAAATAAAAAATATTTGGTGGCTGCTAAAGATTATACGATAAGTAAAAAACCGAAATATGGTGCCTCTTCAACGTTATAATTCGATCTATATATCGCACCAGAGCAAATATGTGCTTTTGCTCCCGCTCCGCCCTAATCTATCTTATACTAAATTTAGATAACTAACAATTCAAGGAAACAATAGCAATTCTAATTCAAACAAGTTTACAAATTTATTAAAACGGTGTATCCGTTGACACCGGCCCGCGCCAGTGTGCGTTTCTCCGACCCATTCAGTGAGCCACTGTTGTGGTGGCTGGTCATCCTCCGCGATGAAGACCAGCTCGCCCGTCCGGATGTCCTCCTGTTAATGCTGCCGAGACAACCCGCCATCGCCGCAAGCACGTTAGACCCTACTGGTCCGGTGTCCGGACTCCCATAGTAGCCCATGTGCGGAGCCCGCGGCGGTATGAACGCAATTACGGATCTTTTTCTTGATGCGTATTGTGTGATTGCGTCGACCTCGTCGATTCTCCGACGAAGGTCTGCGAAGTGGCGACTCGCTCCGACGAAGTTCGCCGCGTTGTAGTGCACGATCTGCGGACATCCTCGGCGCCCAACGAACATTTGAAAAGCCAATAAAAAGGAAAAGGTCGGAAACTACTTCTAAATGAACTGCCTTGGACGCAAAACAAACAAATAAGGCAATGTAGGACTTATAGGGTGGCCTACCACGAATTTTTAATGTCGTATCAATAGGGCCACAAAAATCAACAACACATATAGAGAATGGGCGGAGAGCACGAATTCTGTATAAGCGCATTTACGATCCATCGCGCTGGCGCAAAAGACTCACAAGTGCGCGTGGACCCACATGAAAATTCGAATAGTGCAAGTATCGGACGTAGCTCTGAACAAATTGAGAGCGTTTTGTCAACAATACTGGAAACTTGGCATCGTACGATTTAAGAGCATTAGCTAGTCGCTCCCAACCCGCAACAACGAAAAGGTAAGCCCAGCCTCTGAAGATTCATGTAGAAAGGGATTTAGCTTTTGTAAACTAGGGCCAACATTTAAATTTTTTCGGATCTTTTCTATTTCTATATTGATACTCGTGCTCTTCGACTATTTTCTTAAAGGCTTCATTATATTCGACAGGTAAGGGAACAATATCAATGAACAATGCGAATATTTGGTGGCTGCTAAAGATTATACGAGTATTAAACAAACGGAAGATGCTGCCTCTTCAACGTTATAATTCGATCTAACTTATCTATTGCGGCGAAGCGGGACGAATTCGCACCAGGGCGAATATGAGCTTGTGCTCCCCCTCCGTCTTAAGCTATCTTATACTAGATTTAGACAACTAACCATTCCAGGAATCAATATCAATTCACGACTTTACAAATTCATTAAAACGGCGTATCGGTTGAAAAATCCATATAGGGCCGCAGAAGTCTACGCCAGTGTTGAAGAATGGACGAGACTGCGTGACCCTGTCGGTGGGTAGATTTTTCATGATTTGGCTCATTAATTTTCGTTTGACGGTTTGACGATCAGATATTGTTAACAAACTGTGGCATGTAAAGTTCTCTTTGCGTAGTTCTTTCATGATATTTTCACGATTGTGTCATTGTAGGGAAGCAATACAACATACAACTTTGCAACATAAGCCAGATTAGAATGCTCTAATCTAACCCCCGAAATGGGTCGTTGCTTTTATTGTTGCCTTATATATTTTGTGTAAGGCACAGATTCAGTAATTAGAACGATCCGATGAATGAATATATCCGACAATCGCATATAAAGTATGTTACTACCTGATCACACTGACAAAATCACTCCGCCCACCATCTAAAAACTTTACCACTCAAATACCCTTAATATGAGATGTCTTATCTATGTATGTACTATATGTCGTAAATACATCTATAAATTATTTTCAGGTAAAACTAGTCAGGGGGAAGTATCCACAACATTTAATAATGGTCTGGAAACTATACGACGATGAAAAAAAATCTGAAAATGATCATCCCCAAATTTTTAGGGATGATCAACTTTTTCTAGTTTTAGAAATGAAGTATGCTGGAATCGATCTATCAAATTATATATTTACAAACGCGGAGCAATCGTATAATGCATTATTACAGGTCAGTATTTAGAGTAACTATATATTATCTAAGCATTTTTATTATAATAAGAATTTATGTACTTTCTAATCTTTTTAAGTTGCAGCAGATAAACCTCACCTCCCGAGTCGGTATATATATTCCTGTGTTTCGGGTTGACAGTCAAAACTAGTCTCTGTACGCGAAGTAGTCTCTCTCAGATTTATAGTTATCAAATTGAAACGTTGCAGGGAGGTTCCGATTTTTGAAGCTCACAATGAATACGTACAGCCCACCTCCCGTCCTCCCGGCATGAGGGACGATAGACTCATGACGTATGGATATCGCGGTTCCGGTATCGTTGGAATAGATTAGAGAGAAAAGAAAACTGTAAAATTCCGATTTTTGCAGCTCACAATGCATACGTACAGTCCACCTCCCGTCTTCCCGGCATGAGGGACGATAGACTCATGACGTATGGATATCGCGGTTCCGGAATCGTTGGAATAGATTAGAGAGAAAAGAAAACTGTAAAAGATTAGGAGTAAGAGTGTTGGGTACCAAAAAAAAGACTGAGACGGCTTTCTTGAAAGACAACGGGATTTTTTATTTTTATACCCTTGCATTGGGTATTATAATTTTATAATCTGCTTGTCTGTTTCTATGCGAACAAGTCTCATATTTTTAAAGCAATCGACTTGAAACTTAGCACACACCCTTCTATCCTTTGCACGCAGTACATATATTGGAACGGCGAGGATCAGCTGACTATATCCCATAGCTGATATGTAATTTATTTACCGAAAATCCTATAACTTTGGTGTTAGAGAGTTTGGATTTTGCCTGAGTGCTATTTTTGGCAAAATAATACGGCCCACCAAATTTCCTTACGAAATTTCCTTATGAACAATTGGAAATGATCGGCTGCCATATAACTGAACGATCGGAAATGGTATTTGGTAAAAATACCAATTTTGGTATTTTTGAAGATAAAAGCTTGAGAATTTATAGAATATATACAGTTTTTAAAGATTTTATAACTAATATGAAAGTTTGTGGGCAATTAAGAAATTGCTTGATCAAGACATTAACATTACTCAATAAGCTGTCTAACTTACTTTTGTATTCTTATAAATTGGTTTCATAATAAAATTCTTAAAACGACTAACTATATCCGATATTTGTAATTTATGTCCGATTTTAACTGCAAGGGTGTATCAACTTCGGCTCCTCCCGAAGTCAGCTTTCGTCTCTTGTTTTTATTAATGGTAATGACGCCATAAACTGTATGGCCATTTACTGCACTTTATTTCTCTGTATTATAAGTTTACTTTATGGCCATTTACTGAAATTTATTTCTCTGTAGTATAAGTTTACTTTAAAAATGTGGGGGGCAAACTTTGATTTTTCATAGCACGTGTGCATAGGGTAGGAAATTCTGCCGCAGCGCTGCCGGCACACTGACAGTGTGAGCACTTTCACATTTTTTTAGAAGCTCTTTTATTTGGCAGCTCAAACTTAAAAATCAAATGAGAAAAATTTTCCCAGAAATTGGGTTGGATAAAGTTTTCTCCAAAGAAAATATAGAAATATAAGCGTAGTTTTTCATTTGTTTAAGAACTTTTGCTAGCAAAAGCTTTCTTTAAAAGAAAATACACTATTTTAGGGCCCATTCCAACTTTTTAATTAACGAAAAATGAAATGAAAAACTACGTTTTTTTCGCTCAGTGAATGCTCTGTTGTGACAAATGCCGTTCATGGGCGGAATGTCATAGTTGAGCACAGTTCTGCTCGGGGGATTTTAAATCCAAACGACTAGAATTATGCATTGAACTGAGCAAAAGAAAGACAAGTAAAGCTTTGCGAAGATTTCAGGGATAAATCTGTTTGGATTCTAAGCTCGCTGAAGATGGAAGGATAAATCAAAAATATAAATAACGCCCGTACACTCTGCTCTCATTGTTTTTATTTGCTTTCCCACTGCTTTAAAACAATATTTCTAGTTATAGCCTTGGTAGAAACATGTGGCAATTAGTATTGTATATCGGCTACAGTAAACAAACACTAACGACATTATTCATAGATAAAATCAACTTTAAGGTCAATATACTTTTTTTGCGCCTTTTTATACCTTTTACTCGGTAATTACAATGGTATATTGTATTCGTGTAAATGTATGTAACATACGTAAGGAATCATTTCCGACCCGTAAAGTATGTATGTACATATTTCTTGATCAGTATCAACAGCCGAGTTGATATAGGCAAGTCCGTTTGTTTGTATGGACGCGTCGATCTAAGAGACTAAGAGATAGACCTATAAAATGATCCGTGAGAGAAGCGCAAGTCAAGTTTATTCCATTCTGCCCAAAAATGGCATATTTCTGTAGTGCCTGTACAGGAAGGTATTTTGAAAAAGTATTTTCAAAAACTATATCAATAGCTAATTTATATAAACATTTATATACCGAATCTCATACTAACATGTTTAAATCTTGAACGCATGGATCTATTTCTATTTCTTTTCATATCAGTTTTCAATAATTAAATAATAACAAATAATTTTAAAATTAATACAAATAAATTAGTATTTAGAGGGTGAACAAGATTGTTCCATTTATTATTAGGACCATTTATTATTATTTTTTAGGGACACTCTGAACGATTTTTTTTTCTAAAAGCCCTGCAAAACTGCCTTGAAAGTTCTTGAAAATATTTCCGAAGAAGAAGAAAACCACCAGCATAGGACAAACAATAAACACCTTTCTTAATAATTTTTATACACACTATATTTATCCAAATGGTGGGCAAAACGCACACATGCTTAACATATGAGTTTAAGCGTAAGCTGCGAATAAAAAAACAAGAAACGAAAGCTAACTTCGGGCTGAGCCGAAGTTGATATACCCTTGCAGTTAAAACCGGATATATATCGCAAAAATCGGATTTAGTGGTCTGATCCTTATGAAAATATCATAATATAACCTATTTATAAAAATAACAAAACTATATAATAAAGACCCAAATTTCTATCTTCAAGAAGAAGAATACCATTTCCGATTCACAGCTGATAATATTAATGTAATATTTAGTGTAATGTTTATTTATTTAGGCTTTAGTTTGTACAAAGCGCTTAATTAGTCGCAAGCCGACTCTCTCTCTCTCACAGTGACAAGTCGGGACGCCCTCCCTGTACATTACTTGAGTCCCTGCATGCACCATAAGCTGGTCTATCTGCTGATCATCCGGCTTCATGTGCATGCAGGAATAAACTTTTATAACGTTGTAAATTACATAAATTCGTCTTTTATTTTGGTGCGGATTACGGAAAATTAAGGGAAACCCTCAATGACCAAACAAAATCAATTAACTTTTAGTAATATAAGTTAATTAAATTCTTTTGACCACCTTTTAAAAAAACCACGACGCCTTTAGGTTATTAAGCATTGTGGAAACACGGGCGACAAATTTGAGTTTTAAGTCCTAAGTCTAGACGTAGCTGCGTCTCTTTTCGTTCGCCCTTTCACTGCCCGACGTGCCTGTACCCATCTCGCACCACACACATACACTAATACACAGTTGTATACCAGGGCACACACACAGAGAGGCAGACAGACAAGCAACTCTGGGCTCCCTCTTTTTTTCCCCCATCCCACCTCCACACCACCCCCAACCCACTTGAATTTGCAACGGAATTGTTTCCGTTTCACCAAGCTTATTAACCTGAGCTAATTTTTCTAAAACAATTCATAGGAAAATACGTAGTCTGGAGAGGCTTCGCAAAAAAGTTTGCATCTTGATCCATTAAGTACTAAATCATTCGCTAAACACAATTTGTAAATATTTTTGATATCGAACTGAAGTTTGCATAGGCAGATGCGGATTTGTATTGAGCACAAAGCTTAACATCGTCTGGCTAAATAAGTACTAGCGAGTTCGTTAAAGCCCCCTGTGTCAAGTCATTAATAAACAAGAAAGGAAAGCTAACTTCGGGCGGAGCCGAAGTTGATATACCCTTGCAGCTAAAGCCGGATATATATCGCAAACATCGGATATAGTTGGCCGATCCTTATGATTACGTCATAATAAAACCAATTAATTACAATAAAAAATCTAAAAAAAAAAGTCCCAAGCTTCTATCTTCAAAAATACGAATGTTGATATTTCTACCAAGTACCATTTCCGATCGGTCAGATATATGGCAGCTATAGGATATAGTCGGCCGATCCTAATGAAATTTGGTAGGTTGGATCAACTGATAGAATGAATGTGTCAAAAATAGAATGTGTACTTTCAGCTTTAAGTTTCAGCTTTCTATCTTCAAAAACACGATCGTTCAGTTATATGGCAGCTATAGGATATAGTCGGCCGATCCTTATGAAATTTATCATGTCGTAATGTGTTGCCAAATATAGCTCCCGTCAAATTTGAACTCTCTAACTCTAAAAACACCAAAGTTATACTATTTCCGATCAATCAGTTATATGGCAGCTATAGGATATAGTCGGCCGATTCCGGTCGTTCCGACTTATATACTGCGTGCAAAGGAAAGAAGGGCGTGTGCAAAGTTTCAAGTCGATAGCTTTAAAACTGAGAGAATAGTTCGCGTAGAAACAGACAGACAGACGGACCGACGGACAGACGGACATTCTCATATCAACTCAGGAGGTGATCCTGATCAAGAATATATATACTTTATAGGGTCGGAGATGTCTCCCTCACTGCGTTGCACACTTTTGGACAAAATTAAAATACCCTCTGCAAGGGTATAAAAAAATAAACAGTAACGGGCCAAGATGACTTCCTTTTTGACTTTTTGTGTTCTTCCATCTAAGTAGCTGGAGATCCACGTAAGGAGGTCTGTAGGAAATCCCAAAAGATTCAGTTTACTCAACAGGAGTGAATGATTAACGGAATCAAATGCTTCACTGTGTGTAATGTGGATAAGTATGTGTAACTAGCATTTGAAATCACTTTGAAAGCCATCTATGGCAAAGGGTGTTAACTCCAATAAATTAGTGGTGGTGGAGCGACGCCTTATAA